TCTCAATGGAAAATAATAAACTGCGAGGGAAGGTAAAAAGCTTACAAAACATGGCTGGAGAGCTTTTTTAATTAAAGACAAATACTAAAAATTAGGAAACCTAAACTAATTCGAATTTGAAATTCAAAGGTTAAATAAAACTTAATCCAAATGATCTTCAAAATCTAATGGCATCTTTAATTGATGCTGTGTGATTCTTCTCCATAGTCGCGTCTATGTTGAATGTCTTCGGAGATAGTTGCGTGTAGATGCTTATGCGTATGATTCACCGTGCATCTTTAATGGACCATTCGGTTGTGCATCGTGATCTTTCTTCGCAAAAATCTCTAACTGCCTCTTGACCAGCGCTATACTTCAATGTTGACTTGTAGCCGCTCTACCATTATCTCTTGGTTAGTGCATCTTTCTTGACTCAGATTTAAAAAAAATTTCATGTTTCGAGTCAGACATGATTTTCACTTAATTAAACTCTCTATATTGGCAACTTCTATGAGCTCTTCAGCCACTCCATTGATGGGTTTCGTGGGCTAAAATGTATTGTCGTGACCTTTTATCGTGAACGAATTCGTCAAGGAATTCTTCCGAGTGAGTCTTATGGTTTAGGCGTATTGTTCTGGGTTGGTGCGGGCCATTAGCATTTTCATGTTTAGACCCAGATTTTTGCCCTGGTGTCAACAGCGGTAAATTTGTGATACGTCAGATGTCTTTCGGTATTTTCTAATAAGATTACATGTATTTGTAGAGTTAATCTTTCTTTTGCTTTAGGTTTGGGCAGATCAGAAAACCTACATACATACGCTTTTGCTATGGCTTTTAGTCTTGTGGCAATGTTGGGCCAACTTTTCATTTTGGGCTTCTAAGATTTTAAGGCCTGAGTTTCCAACTTTTCTATTGTGTTATTTTTTTTTGGTTAATACCACGAAAAACCCAAAACTGGTATACATGTGATAACTTTACCCAAAATTAATTTTTGACCACAAAAAACAACAAATTGGTACACATGTGACAAATTTACCCTCAGTTTATTTCCTTTAAATTTTACTATTAAATTACTTTGTTAAATGACACATGGCTATTGATTGATGTGTCAATTCTATGTTTTACCCTCCGTTTATCATAGGTGTAATAGTTTGTTATTTTTTTATATTATTCTAATTTAACGGAAACCAACAGGGAGTAAATTTGTCACAAATATACTAGTTTGGGGTTTTTAGTGGTCAAAATATTGGTTTGGAGTAAATTTGTTATAAGTATACCAATTTGGGGGTTTTTTGCAATAAAAAATTAGTTTGGAGTAAAAATATTACATGTGTAGCAGTTTGGGGTTTTTCGTGGTATAAATGCTATTTTTTCCCCTTAAATTTTGGAATTTTTCCCTCTCTTCTTCTTTCCTTTTTCTTGATTAAGTTAATACCACAAAAAAACTCAAAATGGTACACCTGTGACAAATTTACCCCCAGTTACTTTCCGTTAAATTTTATCATCAAATTGTTGAGTTGGACGACACTTTGCAGTTGACGGGTGTTCTAGTTTGGGGTTTTACACCTCTGTTTGTCACAGGTTTACCAATTTGTGATTTTTAGTGGTATTAATCCAATTTAACGAGGGGTAAATTTGTCACAAGTTCAAGTTTCGGATTTTTGGTGGTCAAAAAATTCGTATTTGGTAAATTTGTCACACAAGTTTGCGGTTTTTGGTACTCAAGAAATTAATTTAGGGTAAATTTGTCACGGCATACCAGTTTGGAGTTTTTTGTTGTCAAAAAATTAGTTTAGGGTAAATTTATCACATATGTTCCAATTTGAGATTTTTCGTGGTATTAACCCTATTTTTTTCCCCTTAAATTTTGGAATTTGTCCTTCCCTTCTTTTGTCCTTTTTTTTTGAGTTTCTCACTAGACTCAAACATAATATACTCAATTTGACTTAAACCTAAATTGTTGACTCTCGAAAAGCTAGAGTGTCTTCCCTTACATTCACCTTTTAATCGGGGAAATTGTTATTTCGACTCTCACTTCGGTCAAACAGCTAAACCATGGCCTTTAAGATCGACTTTGACGACATTCTTGTGTTGGAAAAATATGTTAGATAATATTGTAAAATAAAAATCCTTGGAAATCTATTGGAAAGGATAAGAAAATAGGATCAAATGTCTGAGGCGTGCAGGCACTATCCTTAATGATAATTCCGTCCATTATAGTACGAAACTCGATGCGTAAGGCTCTAGCGGCTATCTTTTAAGATATAACAGATTTTCCTTTTTACTCTGCACTAAATAAATAGAGGGAACATAAACAACAACATTGTATGTAAAACCCAGCTAATAAATGGAAAGAAAATAGGGAATATATTATTTTGCTATGTTTTAATTGTGATATGAAAATTCTCTTTATAGGCAAATAATGAACAGAGTTAATAAAGAAATAAATCAAATAAAATGTTACAAGACCGTTATAAATTGATTGCAATCATACTTTCCATTGAAGTAGTTACAAAATAATTGCTTTAAATATTTTCAAAACCGCCGAAATATCCAACAATCTTATTGAAAAATCGATCGAGAATTATATTGACTAACCGGACAACTTGGTTCATATTAGATAGCATTTAGACGATTACTAAAACAAAATGTCGGACTATCAAGACAGCACGAGGTCCATTTTGCTACTGGAGGTAAGAAACTAAAACACATTTGCGCCAGAAAAGCTTACACGTATTCCACCGCATTAAGAGCTTTGCTTCTTCTTATCAAGTTCCTACGTTAATCCCGTTTTGAGCAAGGGCTAATCAACTCGCCAAATAATATGAGCGAGCATCTTCGACTGCGTGGGCCAACCTTTCTCCGATGTCGGGACAAAAGCAATGTGACAGTGCCGCTCGTCACTTGGATTCTACCGAAACCAATGAAAGAATAGCCGCACTCTAGTTATTCAAAGGGAAGGTACCCCTTGATTTGACCTTATTACTAATGATTCTCGATCATATATGGTTCGATTCAAATTGACCAATTAATTCATTTATGATCTATTTATTTATAATATAAATTTCTCGATCCATACCTGACCCGACCTATATTGTTTAAACACTTTCATATTTAACTAAATCTAGGAAACTAATTTCTTAAGATATTTTTAAAAAATTATATTGTTAAAACATTTTCATGAAATACAAATCTAGTGAAAAAATTTTATAATTTTTTTTAAAATTGAGACTACGTTTGTTTTGTAGAAAATGTGACATTTCTAAAAAATGTTTTTCATGAAATCATTTTCCAAAAAAATAACAATATTTTTCGGAGTTTGGCTAAAACCTGAAAATGAACTAAATAATATTTTCCGCCACATGGTATAGAAAATGTGATTTGATTTTCCTCAGTGCACTCCTTATAATAATTTTAATTTAATTTAATTTTTCAAAAAATCAAAAAATTAATTATTTTTATTTTATTTTATTTTTTCCTTTTTCTTTTTCCTTCATTTTCGGCCGATGGTGGCGACTGGCCACAGGTGAGGAATGAGCTCGCTTGATTCTGGCGAGCTAAGCCTCGAGTGAGGTTCCCCCTTGCTAGATCCAGCGAGCTCGAGCCTTGATCGATCGGTGAGGGTCAAGCCTCGCTAGACTAGTGAGCTCGAGCTTCGCCGACCTTCGGCAAGCTCGTTCCTCGCCTGTGGCTAGTCATCAGCCACTGGCTAAAAATGAAGGAAAAAAAAGAAAAAAAGAAAACAAATTTGTAATTATAATTTCGATTTTTTTAGAAAAATATTTTTTTATAAGGCTGAAGAGGGAGAGAGTAGGGGTGTGTAAAGGAACTGGGAACCAAACTAGACTAGACCGGAATCCAATTTACTATAATTGGTGAGTACCGATCCGATTTCTGATTTCCGGTTCTAGGCGTGGAACCGCCCATCCGTCCACCCGAACTGGATCGGTAATAATTTTTAAGAAAAATGAAAACCCTTAAATCCTCAATCTAAAGCTTAACGCCCATCAACTAAGTGCTCGTCATGTCTCACACTCTCACTTTATCTGAGTCGTCTCTCTTTATCTCATTCATGTCTTGACTTTTAAGCTCATCGCCTATCAACTCACGGCCTCGAATTTCAACTCCCATCAACTCATGACTGCGCCTCCGACCGTTCATCGCCTCCCTCTCTCGCTTTCAGTCACCACTATTTGCGTGAAACTTGATGGGATCGGTTCCATGGACCCACCCGGGAACCGAATCGGACCGGCGATCTAGTTCTCGGGTGGATCCATGGAACCAACGGGCAGTTCCCGATTTCATGATGAGAACCGTTCACTCGAACCATACTCACCCGTAGAAGAGAGAGAGTGTGTAGGCTTAGTGGGTTGGAAATGGGTTCTAAACTCAATCCATTTAGATCCATTTATTTTAGTCTTAAAATTTTAGAACCCATTTATGGTTGACTCTTAAAAATTGAATTGACCCATTTTGATATGTCTACCAATAAAAATTATTGATGCAATAAAGCAATGGTAATCTCGTCCTTAAATGTTTCTTTTTCGTGACATGTTCCCACATTCTTTTGCTTATTACCTCGTCAAGGAGAGAAACAGGGGTTTTGTTTGTTTCGCAATAACATGAATAATTCAAAATATATTATCCTAAAAATGATTGTTTTTATCGTTTGAAATAATTTGTCAAAGGAAAATATTTTTATAATAGATATAAACGATTATTTTTAGGAAAAATATTTTCTAAATTATTTACTTTTCATAAAACAAACAGATATAGAGAGAGCAATTCCAGCTTTTTCAGCTCATGGTTCCAAAAGGAAGTTCTATAAAGAGGATATACGATTTACCTTAAGATCCGTTGTAGTCTAGTTGGTTAGGATACTCGGCTCTCACCCGAGAGACCCGGGTTCAAGTCCCGGCAACGGAATTCCCTTTTTCCCATTTTTATTTTCATTTATTTATATATTTTTTGAATTTTCTTATTTTCATAATATCGACGTCACCTCTCTTCTCTCTCTTTCTCTCTCTCTCTCTCTTGCCTCTTTCGGACTTTCGTGCTTTGATGGATTCCGATTCAAGCCTCACCAGCTTTCCCTCGTAACTTTCTCTGCTGGACCCCCCTCGCGCGCAGCACGTACGACTGCAGAAGAATTTAGGGTTTTGGTTTTCTCGTTCGCCGGAGGTAACCCACTTGCTGTCTCGACGCGATGCGCGTGTCGTGTTGTTTGTGGGGTGGGTGTGTGTCTGAATGCTCGTTTCATCGAGTAGTTGATCGATGGTTGATGATGGTGGCTAGTTGTCGATTCAGCTATGGTGTAGTGTAGTGGGTGATTGATGCTTGACCGAGGGCTAGGAGGTTCTGTTGTGGAATTTGATATGCTGTTTCTGGGCGATTGCTTATTGTTGATATTGCGGTGAAAGAATGATTTTTTCAAATTGTTTCGTTGTTGGGTCCCCGTGGCAAATTTTGCTTTTTTCTTTTGAGAGCATCCTGAAATTGAATTTTTGATGTGTCTCGCGGTTTGATGGCCTCCTTTTGCGCAAATTTTTCCAATAGAAACGACTTTTGACTTGGATTTTGGTTACGCTTGCTGGACTTGGGTGGCTTTTTCGTGAACTTCACGAGGGAGGCGAGAAAGGCAGGATCGCATTACGGATTTTACACGGAGGAAAACATCTTTTTAATCTTGCCGATTGGGAACTTTGCTTATGTTACCATGTTGTGCCTCGTTTGTCGAATTTAAACCATGTCTTGGAATTCAAAGATCGTGCTTTTCGCATTAACTCATTGTGGCATTTTTCAGTAGTTATAGCGCCATTAGGAAAGCTGCCATCTTTGAGTTATGTTCTAAGAAATGTCAAAAGTTTTCCTTGTATGTGCATGCTCAACTTGGGAGGCCTTGAGCAGCTGCGCTTAGGAAATCTACATAGTTCATCGCTGATGTACTATTTCATACAAAAGGGGTTCTTTTGTTGTCTGGATCGCTTCATGCCCTTCTTGTTTTTTTTTTTTTTTTTTTTTTTTTTTTCTGTTAGTGTTTCACTGCATTTAAAGTTAAAATAGTTCGAAACCTAAACTAGTGATGCTCTTGGCAGGTCTTTTTCGGTAATTTCTCATGATTGCTTGGCTGATTAGAAAGATTTGGTGAAATCTTATTTACAAATTAGTTCTGGTTTTGATGTTTCTGGTTGTGCTTAAGGGTATTGTTCTCTCTCCAACATGATAAGTTGCTTTTTGTGTCTAATGTTGTGTGTTTCCGCCATAGATATAGTCATGGCTGTTGAGGATGATAATGTTGAAGGCTCGATATCTTCAGCTTTTCTTGCATTGATGGATTCTAAGCAGAACGAAGATCTGCTTTCTGCCGAGGACATAGCATGGATCGACTCCTGCCTGACTAAAGATCCTGAGATTCTGGAAAATAGCTGGGATTGTCTAAAAGATGCCTTGCTCGAAGTGCTCGACTTCCAACCTGATTTTATCAATCATTCTTCAATGGAAACTGATGACTCCCTCATTGAAGATGACATTGAGATACGTACTCCGTCAAAAATCTCAGTATACAAACGCATCGAATCTCCTGGAAGAATGGTTGAGGATCTCATCTCTATGGATAAGGAAGAAACAGACGGTGAAAGTACTCCATTTGGTGACAGTCCTTCCTTACAAGTTTCGCTAAGAAATGCTTTTCAACCTAATTTCCGAGAGTTCCCTGAGGAGAGGACAAATGATGATACAGGATTGAACGTGGAAGCCCATGCGACAGAGTTATCAAGTGCGGAAATTTTCAAGGTTTGGGATCTAGATGTACCAGATGAGGAAGACAATTTCGCAAAAGAGTTGAATAAGGCACTTGCAGGAAGCTCCATTCAACCTTCTCCATCACAATTAGAATCTTCAATTGCATGGAACGACTCAAAGGATGACATACTTGAAAACCTAGTTGCCGGGATTGCTGACCTGTCTTTAAAGCAAGATTCACCGGCGTAGTTTTGTCTAGGTCAGTATTTTGGTGCATATTTGTTGATAGGTTGGCTTGAAATTATTGTCTCAGTTATTTGCAAACAGAGGAGGACATTGAGCTTTTTTGGGTTTTGGATGGGGAGTTTGAAGTATGGGTGGGTCGAACGTGGGTACAAGTATTTAGATTAGCTTCATGAGAACATCGACCAATACAGTAGCACTTTTCATTCATTCAAATGGTGTCCTCTCTTCTTCTTACATTTTTCTGTTTTGAGCACTTTGACATGGTCCTTGGAGGCCGTTAGGCATTCTTACGAGGTATTTAAGAACTCAAGATTGGTGTCACCAAGTACCGAAAATTTCCTGGTAATCTCAATCCAACCTGGATCCGGGGACTGAAAACTTTCACCAAGGTCAAACTGATATTCGTTAGTGGGTAAAAGAAATACATTAAATGATAATGTCCGATGGAGACTTTCTTGCCCGAGGGACGTTGGAAAGGAAGACATACTTCACGGAACCGCGTGTTCTTTTAACTGCACATTTTTAAGGTGAGATGGTTGGAGTTTTATTTGAAATGTTTGCGACCTTTGTTGCTCTTGCCAGCTCCTTGTCAGCAATCAATTTGGAAATCTCGTCTTGCTCGTTAGAAAGACAAATCATTGATTGCAATTTTCCATGTCATTTCTACAGAATTCTTCGTGATCATGAAGATTGTTGGTTAACCTTCTTTCCTACAGAAATCAGGTTGCCGGAATCTGAGGCAAGCCTCAAAGTCACCCTCTCACGTGTCAGAGGATTTTATCAATTTTACTTGAGAATATCGACATGAGACCTATGTGCAGCGAAAATATGACGTCCTTTAATGCCCTGTTCAGAAATTAGTTGCATCCTGAACTTCCTCATAGGGAAAATTTTGAACTCCATGCGACTCTGTATCATTACTGGTTTGGTTATTATCCCTAATGACTTCTGTGTATGTTGAGCCATGCTAGCCATGTTCACTCTTTCGCAGCAAAAACTGTCACAATTGTCTCATTTTCAGGCCATCAAAACAAATTGGGCCTCCTTAAAAATCTAAAATTTGGCGACTGGTCTACTCTTGACATGAGAGATCGTTCATAATGACCGCAGATTCTGCAACTAGGAACCGTGACCATAAAAGACAGACCAAAGAGAAGTCATTTGGAGCCTCAAACTCACTCTCCACATGAATCTGAGCCCAACAACTCTCACTGTATCTGGTGCACATGATACCTTTTTGGGTCAATGACTAATTATATTGTAATTTCTTTAAAATCTCGAGGTGGGCATAAATCTTTGTATTCCAACCACGGATGGAACAATGCCAGGTGAGCAGGTTATCATCCACGTGGCAGGGCCCGATTGGGCAGTGCACAGCAGCCTCTAGTTGCACATCTTTCACAAGTTCACTATAAATCCTTGGGGAGCGAGGAGTGAGAGTTTGTGTGGTAAAGAGAGGCAAAGAGAGGTTCCCAACGAGGAGATAAGAAGATAAATACATAGTACACACGCTTTTTGCATATTTTTGCATTTGGACTTTGAGAAGCGAAAGGAGCAAAGCAAAGAAGCGAAAGGAGCAAAGCAAAAAACAATGGCCTCTGCTTCTGCAACGCTGCTCAAGTCATCCCCAGTTCTTGACAAGTCCGAGTGGGTGAAGGGTCAGTCTCTCCGCCACGCCTCGGCCACCACCGTGCGCTGCCACCCTGCCGCTGCCTCCGCCCTCACTGTCAAAGCCAGTTACGCCGATGAACTCATCAAGACTGCGGTACGTTGGTTGCTGTCCTCTTTCACTTGAACACAAGTTAGATGATGGGTGATGTGTGTTCTTCAGCTACAATATAATCTTGCAACAAGTGAACCAGACCATGGCATATGTTTCTCCAGTTTGTTCACCAACTTTAAGAAATATCCTCCGCAAGTCAAATAAGAAGTTCAGAATTCAGTGTCAGCACATACAGTGAGTTTGACATTAAGTGTGAGGCATGAGTTCTTGACTTGTGTTGTGTCCACTGTAAAACAGGTTTGGTACTGAAAATTCTTGAATGAGAAATTTGATTAGGATTCTCCATCCGATACTTCACAAGAAATTAGTACCTAATTAGAGTTTTGTTAAGCTTTAATTGGTTACTTAAGCTAATTATTGCTCATGACTTAGTTCTTCTCCCGCCTTCCGAGTTCCGACATCCTGCCCAATTGTGTTAAGAAATATTAGGAGACAGACACAGCTAGAACATGTATCGAGGCACATCTTTGTTTTACAAAGGTGCTACCAATGTTCATGCACATTCGCCAATCTCCATGCACGGAGTACTTATGTATCACCAGCTTTAGTAGGGCGAGATACATCAGTGCGGCGGTCGGATTTCCACCCTAAGCATGCTTCAAACGTTATGGTGCAAAAATGGCATCTGCATCTAACCTTAGTTTCACATATTCATCGTTTTCAAGCAGACAACTGCTTCTGTATCATATTTCATATTACTTTCTGGAAACAGAAAACCGTCGCATCGCCAGGGCGCGGAATTTTGGCCATGGATGAATCAAATGCCACTTGCGGGAAGCGTCTTGCCTCGATTGGGCAAGAGAACACCGAAGCCAACCGCCAAGCCTACAGAACTCTGCTGGTGAGTGCTCCGGGACTCGGCCAGTACATCTCCGGTGCCATCCTCTTTGAGGAGACTCTCTACCAGTCCACAGTCGATGGACGCAAGATGGTCGACGTGCTTGTTGAGCAGAACATCGTCCCCGGTATCAAAGTCGACAAGGTAAATCAGCTCTCCTATTTGTATAATTATATCCAAATGAAGTCCTCGAGATATGACATTTTTGGAAGAGGAATGCAAGTTGACTGAATTCTTGGGAATTATTCATGCAAATGACAGGGTTTGGTGCCTTTGGCCGGTTCGAACAATGAGTCCTGGTGCCAAGGTCTCGATGGCCTTGCTTCCCGCTCAGCTGCTTACTACCAGCAGGGTGCTCGTTTCGCCAAATGGTACGACAATCCACATTCCTCTGACCTTTACTTTCAAATGCTCTGCATTAGTGTCAAATCATTAGCTTAAACATCTTAATTCACTATTTTTGACCTAATCACACATTGGCCATGTCCCCATCTTCGATTTTGTCCAGAATTTATTGAAATATTTGTCATTGAATCAGGCGTACCGTCGTGAGCATCCCGAATGGCCCATCTGCCCTGGCAGTGAAGGAAGCTGCCTGGGGTCTCGCCCGCTATGCTGCCATTTCTCAGGTAAGATCAGCTGAAACTGAGATTTTGTCTATTGGTTGTAGCCCTTCTTGTTTGTGACACGTCTACTTAACCTTTTGGCAGGACAACGGCTTGGTACCAATTGTGGAGCCGGAGATCTTGCTTGATGGTGAGCATGGAATCGACAGGACATTTGAAGTCGCTCAGAAGGTTTGGGCCGAGGTTTTCTTCTACCTGGCCGAGAACAATGTCATGTTTGAGGGTATCCTCCTCAAGCCCAGCATGGTCACTCCCGGTGCCGAGTGCAAGGAGAAGGCCACTCCTCAACAAGTCGCTGACTACACCCTCAAGCTTCTCCACCGTAGAATCCCCCCAGCAGTCCCTGGAATCATGGCAAGTCTCACTACCAATCCCGTGCTTTTAACTGTGAACTATGACTTGATTCTGTTGGCTCTGGTTCGTATGGTTTTCGGTTGTCTTCTTTTTTTCCTTCGCTTGTTTTAATGGTAGCAATCTTCCTCGCATGAGCAGTTCTTGTCTGGTGGACAATCTGAAGTCGAAGCCACCCTGAACTTGAATGCAATGAACCAATCGCCAAACCCATGGCACGTATCTTTCTCATACGCCCGAGCCCTCCAGAACACCTGCTTGAAGACATGGGGAGGAAGACCCGAGAACGTGAAGGCGGCCCAGGACACCCTGCTTGTTCGCGCCAAGGCCAACTCTCTCGCTCAGCTCGGCAAGTACACCGGTGAGGGCGAGTCCGAGGAGGCCAAGAAAGGAATGTTCGTCAAGGGCTACGTGTATTAAGCCGTTCGCCGTAGGTGGAAGAGGACGACCGGAGTTGGGAGACTTAAAGAATTAATCTCTCTGAGTGTGTTATGATTATAGCCACGGAGACTATTTTTGCACATCGAATGTACTTTTCAGTCACTCTATAAACTTCCTGTGATGCCGAGATTATCTAGTTTTCTAAGTTCATGCATCGTTATGTTTTGCATACAAACCGATCATTGAGCACACCGCGTTTTCAGTTTTTTTGACACTCGATGTATTGGAAGGATGGTAGCAGACTCCCATGTCTCAAAACTTATCGATGGGTTGTTCAGGTTTCAGACTGATATTGTCGTAATCGCCGCGAAAATCACATTAAGGTTTTCCCTTAGTAAAGGATTAAGACATGCACGACAAATGAGAATTTAAGAGGGCAAGCCAAAAGAATTGAAACTAAAGAGGGCGAAATAAGAACCAGGGGAACCTTTTGCTTTCTACCTTTCATTGCTGCCTCGGTGTGATATGCATAATCGCAATTGCTTTTAGAGGCCCAATAGAGTTTTTTTGTTAATACCACAAAAAACCTCAAATTAGTACACCCGCGATAAATTTACCAAAAAAAACTTCAAACTGGTATACCTGTGATAAATTTACCCTCAGTTTGTTTCCGTTAAATTTTATTATCAAATTACTTTGTTAAATGACACGCGACAATTGACTTATGTACTAATTTTATGTTTTACCCTCCGTTTGTCACAAGTGTACCAATTTATGATTTTTTGTGGTATTAATCCAATTTAACGGAAATTAACGAAGGGTAAATTTGTCACAAATGTACCAGTTTGGGATTTTTAGTGGTAAAAAAAATTAGTTTGTGGTAAATTTATCATATGTGTACCGGTTTGGGATTTTTTGTTGTCAAAAAATTAGTTTGGGCTAAAATTGTCACAAATTTACCAGTTTGGGATTTTTTGTGATATTAACCTTTTTTGTCAAACAAAAGAGTCTTCAAGATGCTCGGTCTGCTCATTCACTCAAAAGAGTTGCCCATAGAAATTTCAGTTGATGATTTTATACATGGCTTTGGTAGCAAAACAGTTTTTTGGCCACTGTAAGAATATCAGCATGATATGAGCAATAAATTCTTGAAGGATTAACCCCACGACAATTTATAATTATTTTTGTATGGTTGAGAACATACTGTTAATCTCATAGTAGATTAAGGACCGTTACTTAATCATTTCTTTTCATC